TTCGACACGCAACAATTTGGGAGCGCAAAGCTTGGTCCTCCTTTGAAAGCCGGAAAATCTTGTCCGCGACATCGGAACTGTGCATGGAGACTGTGGCTATCATCCGGCACATCGAATTCAAGTTCCTTCCTGAAATGAGCAGATTGAGACCTAGATACGGAAATTTTTAATACTTTCTTCACTCTTTTCCTTCTGGTCTTCACGCACACTTGCTCATTTGGAATCTCATCGGGACATTTGAGGAGCAAATCATACTGGACTCTTATGGCATCCTCATTACTACCTATTTTGGTGATAAGCGCAGATGTTTCGTCCGCTTGTAACACGCGATATGGCCCATCCCAGTCCATAGTCAGCTTGGGATGTTTTCCTCGTGCCTTTTCTCGGGGCAGCTTCATGAATACTCTCCCTCCCACCACCGGAAGGGAAAGGACGTCCACGTCTTTGCGGTTGTCATACACTTCCTTCATCTTAGCTCTATATTTCTCATTATAAGCACGTACCTCCTCTCTTATCAACTGCAGTCCCCTTAGTAACTCTGTACGATAATCATCGACGAAGACCTTGTATTTGGAGACTTCAGCGCTCGGAATGGTACACGAAGGTATGACCGGATCAATCCCATGCAGTACAAAGAACGGACTTTCCCCTGTAGCTTCATGTGGGGTAATGTTGTATGCATATACCACATGAGGTAACATCACATCCCATTTATCGGGGAGTTCGACCTTCTTTTTCAGCATCCTTTGTATGGTCCCAATCGCGCGCTCACTGACACCATTTTCTCTGGAGTTATAGCCTTTTGTGGTGGAATGCTTAATTCCAGCCACTATCGCTAGCTCATCCAGAAGAGAATTCAGAAATTCGGTGCCTTGATCGGTGTGAATTTGTTTGGGCCAACGCCCACCTTCGCAGATCCAGCGATGAAATAAAGTAGTCGCGACCGTAGCAGCGCTTTTGTCGGGCATTGCGTATGCCCCAACCCACTTGGAAAAGTGGTCGACAACTACTAGAACATATTTCATCCCTGACAGACTGGGCTCATCTCCAGTGTGTCAGCTGCGACTATTTCGAACGGTTTGCCTGTGACAAATAGGTTTCAACGGCGGAATCATGCGTTTATGCGGGTTTGTCAGCCAACAACTTGTGCAACCCCTTGCCCATCGGTATATGTCACGATGCATACCGTCCCAGAATACGAGTTTCCGCAGTTTTTCCAGCATCTTCTTGGCCGAATGATGCCCTGCTAGGGAGCCACTGTGATTTTCATCGAAAATTCCTTTTCGACGTTCCTTCGGAACAACCAGAACCGCTGTTCCGTCTTCCAATAGGAACTTCAGTTGCCCGTCTTCCAACGAAAAATCGGCGACTTTGAACTTTTTCGCGATAAGGGCAATTTTACTTCTTTTTCGAGGTTTCCTTCCTCCAGCGCAACGATGATCGGTCCGTACTCAACATCATTGCGTAATTCATCCAACCATTTTGAGGCTTCCTGTGTTTCGACGCTGCACACTATCTGTTCCTCTGCGACCGTGTCTTCAACTTCGGCCGTATTTATGGGTATGCCACGCGATAGCGCGTCAGCCACAGGGTTTGTCTTCCCTTTCACATACTCAATCGATAAACGATACTGCTGGACTTCCAGAGCCCATCTGAGTATGCGAGCAGATACATTAGCCCTCCGAAATATGGCAGTCAAGGGCGCGTGATCCGTTCTTGCGATCACTTGCATGCCGTAGATGAAAAAATGGAATTTCTTCAGAGCAAATACCAGTGCAAGTGCTTCGAGGTCGGTAACATGGTAATTCCTCTCAGCCTTTGACAATCGCTTCGACGCAAAGTATATTGGATGAAGAAACTCATCCACTCCTTGCTGGCAAAGCACTGCTCCTACGCCCAGATTGGATGCATCCGTGTAGATTACGTAGGGATTCTTCCCTGACTGTGCTCCTTCCACATCCGGCTGCGCTAAGACCGGAGTGGTTGACAATACTTCTTTGAGCTTACTGAAAGCTTCATCCTGAGAAGTATTCCATTTCCACGGTATTTTCGTCCTCGTCAATTCAAACAGAGGACCTGCTATTTTCGAAAAATTCAACACAAATTTCCGGTAGTAGCTACACATACCGAGAAATGTGCGGAGTTCCGCTATATTTGTGGGCTTTGGAAACTCCTTTATTTTCAGTACCTTGTCAGGGTCCACATGTACTCCTTTGGCGTCTATTCTGTGACCCAAAAATCCGACGCTTTCTTGAAGAAGTACACATTTTTGAGGCTTAAGCCGCAAATTAGCCTCAACAATGCGTCTATCACCATCTGTAGAACTTCGTAGTGTCTACTTTCCGACGCAGTTGCAATAAGGATATCGTCAATATAGACGAAGACCTCCTTATTCTTCAGTTCGCGTAGCACCGTGTCCATTAGACGTTGGAAAACGGCGGGCGACGTGGTCAGTCCGAAAGGAAGAACAGTAAATTGATAAAGGCCTTCAGAAGTTGTAAAGGCACTCTTTTCCTTTGCTGCGGCAGTCAGTGGTATTTGCCAATATCCCGAGGCCATGTCCAGCGTCGAGAAATACCGTTTACCCTGAAGGCTTTGCAACATGGCGTCAATTCCTGGCAGTGGATAGGCATCGTGCTTAGTGCATTTGTTCAGCTGGCGATAGTCTATGCACAGACGAATACTGCCGTCTTTCTTCCGCACGAGCACTACCGGCGACGCCCATTCAGACGTTGAACGTTCAATGATTCCTCTTTGTAAAAGGCTACTGAGAATATCCTTGAACTCATCACGGGCTCCAATCGGGACTGGTCGGGTCTTTTGCCGAATTGGTTTGGTGTCTCCCGTATCGATATCGTGAGTTACCAAAGAGGTTTGCGTCAACTCGCTGTCCTCCACAGCGAAAACGTGATTGTTTCTTTCCACAATCTTTTGCATCTGAGGCGACAGCGTTCTTCCATCCCTGTTTCTGACCAAAAACTCGAACAAGGTATGCAACCTTTCTTTCGCAGACATCGGTTTGCCTTGGGTGCACAATATGTCTGCTGGACTATCATTGAAGCGGAATTCGTCCCAGTAAGCTTTCTCCCATTCGCCTACCTCCTGACCCTTCCGTATTACCATGGGCTCATCGGATATGTTGACGACCGCTACCTTTGTCATTCCGTCGACGTCTACTTTGCATAGACCGTTTGGAATCCTTTTGTCTGTCGTGCTGAGCACTGCTTCTGACCACTTCTTTTCACACTTAAGGTCCACGTATTTGGTTTGTCCGGGAGCTATGAAGACTCTCTGCGCTACAACAGCCACAGGATTCGGCTCTGTTTCTTCTCGCTGTCGTAACATCTTCTTTTCTCTCGGTCCTTGCAGGCTTTTCTTGACCTGGTATCCCATCGATGGAATAGCGTTGGTTCCCAATATGATCAAGTCCTCTTTACCTTTGGACACCAACATTTGTACAAGAGTTTTCTGTTGTCTCTCTTATTCACAATGTCCAACTCCACTGCGGTCAAAAAGTCCATAGCCCTCCCTGAGGCATCTGTAATTTTCAATGACCTGGGTAGTGGCACTTCCTTGACTGCGGTATCAATGTCAATTCCATCATTCATCGCCTGCTGAAGCACTTTTGCTGGAAGGATAGACACTTCTGATCCTGTATCAAGAAGCGCCTTCCTGTCCCTACCCAAAATTGTCACATCGATTGTTGATCGCTTGCCGACAATGGTTGGGGAAAGCTTCCTACATGACCTTGTTTGTTTGGTGCAGGCGGCACTGCACCCCGCTTTGCGAATTCGTGCCGACAGTGACATGGCATTACCAGAGCTACCGCTGGCAATGCTTTTGCACTCACGTGCCTTGTGTCCTGTCTTTTTGCACTTGAAGCACCTCATACCCTGTGCTTCTTTACTCGCTCTGTTGGTTTCAATATCAGTCTTACTGCCTTCCAGATTCTGTTCCATATGGACTTCCTTTGAGCGCCTTAATTGAAAGCCTCTTCCTTTTTTCTGAGTCCATGGGCTTGATGAAGGCTTATTCCCTGCGCGGTTCTCGAGAGCCAAATGTCTCCTTTCAACTCTCATTGCGGCGTCCTTCAGCCTCTCATACATATCGCTACCAGGTCCTTCCATAGCCTCTTGTAGGTGACAAGATTCGTCCCAGTGGGAGAGCTGGTCGTATAGGTAATCAGCGCGGATGACTGATAATGTCCTTTCCTCCAGCTCAGGATAGGCTCTACGTGTCAGTCGCTCCAACTCCACGCAAAAATCCCCTACCGACTGTGTTTCTGGCTTTTGAAGACGTTTCAATTCACCCAGTGCGATAATCTTCTTATTTCGCGTCTCTTCTTTACACATTTCTTTCATAGCATTTACCAATGTGTGAAAGTTACGCTTCTTTCCTTTGGCTAGCGCTTCATACTGCGCTCTTGCCTTACCCGTCAACTTTGATTTGAATAAAGCGCAGCGTTCCTTATCTTCCCAAAATTGACCTGGGTATTTAAGTTCAAACGCTTCTACAAAGTTTTCAAACGAGTATTCTTTTTCTTTCCCCGAGTATGGTGACACGTCTGGTAAGGCTACATACCTCATGTATTGTCCCATTGTACTTTGGGTCCTTAACCTAGACTTCCTACGGTGTCTTTGCACTATCCTCTCACTCATACTCTCACTATTTGAACTCTCTATAGAGCTATCGGACGTACCTTGCGGTGTGCAAGTCCTCCTCAACGAATTTCCGTAGCTCACGTGCCGTGAGTCCTTCTTGCTCGCCTGCTTGTGCCAGCCAGTCTGCAATTGACTATCCTCCTCTTGGCTATCACTGACACCACTAGGCATGTGTCTTGACTCACCTGGTATCGCATCATGACCACCTATCTGGTCTTCACAAATACCAGCAGCTTCGAGCTCCGAAATACGGCGCTTTTGCTTTTCGAGCTCTTCTTTAAGCGCTCGGATCTCGTCATCCTTTCGACTAGACTCATCCTGCAACAGAGATACTGTGTTTGCAAGGTTCTTTCCGTTTTTTATCACCCCTTTTACATGGTGCTTAACCTCAGCGGCAGAGCAGTTAAGCTTACATGCAATCTTGTCTAGGGTTTTCGCCTTGACTAGGAATTGCTCTAGCTTACTCGCTAATTCCCCTTCCTCATTCCAGTCAACATATTGCTTGAATATGTCCAAAGCGGCTACAGCACTACTGCTATTATCCATAGCTTCCTTTAGTCGCTGTAATTTTCTCAAAATGCGCTTGACATTCCGTTCAACTATTGCTTCTATCTGATCGCGCCTCTCATCACCTATGCGGAAATGTTTTGCAACTTCTGCCGTCACCACTATCCGCAAATGTGTGACCTTCTCCATAAGTTTGACGCATACCTGTGCATCACTGTCTGGCTCTGCATCGGAACTTCTTGAGCTGGCCATCGAAACATCATCCTGACTCAAATTAGCCATTTCACTTGGCTCAGAATGCTCTGCAAGAGTACACATATCATTTGTGTTCTTGAGCGCTTTTTCACAATCTATATGCGCTTCACGAGCCATTCTACAAATTCCGACAATAATCGAACGATCGAATGTTTTAGCGTTTCAACGTGTCTTGGCCTTTTATTCTCCACCACCCGTGCTTCAGCACGACTGGTAGCCTCGACGGACACTGTATAGTGACACGTCTAAAAGGCCAAGACACCACGGTATCAACGGGGCAACTACCACCGGTACCGCTGATATCTGACACCCTGTTGCAGAGCCGTCAGACAATCACAGTACTGACACCCACTAGGAGCCGTCAGTCGATGTAAAGTTAGAACTTGAGGAGGCTGATGTGACTGTTCAATTTGTCTTGGCCCCCAAGTCAAAAATATATATGTATATTGGTTGTTATACCCGGTTTATTTTTATGAACAGTCACACAGAACTCACAAGTTTATTAAACACGAATAACGCAACAGGTAATCAGACTGAATAAGTGAGTAGTGGCAGGGATGTCCGTGGTAGAAGGGGAACGGCGATCCTGATAGGACAGCAGCGACGTCGGGAGTTTCGAAGCGGGACGAGGCGAGGGGATGGGAGTCGAGAAGATCCGTGCGAGTCGAGGCAAAACGGCAGCCGGGAGTCGAACAAGGCGATTCTGAGCTGTCATCGACTTTCGAGCCCTCTTTTATTGGGAGTTTCCCCGCGCATTTCCGAAATGATCGCGCGGCGGTCCCCTTTTTGATCTGCCGGGGCGGTCAAACAAAACAAAACAAATGATTAATCTTTTACTTTTAACATGCCGGGGGGTACAAACAAGCTGTGGCTCCACTCCACAGTACGCCTATCGAAATTACAATTCCTGCATTGGTGCTTTTTCGGCCCTCTGCTTATCTTTTATTCTATACAGGGCCCTTTTCCGGTGCTTGCGATTTCCGATGCCATGAAGCATGTTCGAGCTTCTAGTGGTGGCAGCCGACAACACAAGCTCCTTTTTCTTATGTGCTCGGAACGGCGCGAGATGAAGTTGCTCTAGCTCCAACATTGATTCCAACTGGGTTCGCAGGAATTCATAGAAGATCCTCGTGGATTCCTCAGAGATCCACTCCTCGGCATTTCTTATAACTCCGACCGCAGCCCACGCGGCTTTCGTATCCATCACACCGACGTTCTGTTGAAGAACGTCAACAATCAGCTGGGCGTGCTCTGGTCGTCCCGCCACGTAACTGAGCACATGACTGCGCATCTTCAAAGTAACATGTTCCCAGCTCACAGTATTCGAAGTTCGCGGCCCGTTGACGAGGTAGACATGGGTTCCGCAAGACACCCATAGGTCGATAGCAGACATGAGTGCCAGCCAGGCTGTGACTCTGCGAGGTTCTTCCGGGGGTAGGACCAGAACTACTGCACCCAAGTCGTTTGTGAATAGGCTGTCGATTTTGGTTTTGATTGACGAGAAGTCCATATAAAAGAACACGCGGGTACGTGAGCCTCCTTTCATCCATGCCATTCTCCGGAGTACCACGGGAACGACAATCAGGATTCGGTTGTGCACTTGATTCAGAGTCGAACTCAGGTCGTGCTCCTCCAGATCCACTTTTCGGGCAGTCAACCATCCAAGTTCGAACACTCTTGCCGGCACTGCCGGCCACCCTCGGGACAGTGATCCGTGCCGCATTATGGTAGCCGGTTCGATGGCGCGGGCCATAATGCTGATGTGCGCGCATTTATTCCGAAAAACAGCATAGGCGAAGCCTAGGGAACGCGGATCAAGGACCTTATCGTCCAGATTCATGATGCGCTGCGTTTTTAACGTGACCGACCCTGGCTGTGTCCATATGGCGATCACCCTTGCTGCCTCCAGTACGCACTCGATTGGAAGGGCTTTAGCCGGATGTGGTAGCGATGAGATAAAATCTCCCTGCTGTCAACTTTTTCGACACAACAATTTGATAAGCGCAAAAGCAAAGCTTGGTCCTCCTTTGAAAGCCGGAAAATCTTGTCCGCGACATCGGAACTGTGCATGTAGACTGTGGCTATCATCCGGCACATCGAATTCAAGTTCCTTCCTGAAATGAGCAGATTGAGACCTAGATACGGAAATTTTTAATACTTTCTTCACTCTTTTCCTTCTGGTCTTCACGCACACTTGCTCATTTGGAATCTCATCGGGACATTTGAGGAGCAAATCATACTGGACTCTTATGGCATCCTCATTACTACCTATTTTGGTGATAAGCGCAGATGTTTCGTCCGCTTGTAACACGCGATATGGCCCATCCCAGTCCATAGTCAGCTTGGGATGTTTTCCTCGTGCCTTTTCTCGGGGCAGCTTCATGAATACTCTCCCTCCCACCATCGGAAG